CGCAACAGGGAAATAAACCCGTGGCAGATCGGGAATGACTGGGAAGTACACCAGATTGTAGATAGTTTTGGGTTGGAGAAATGTTGCTGTCATATATACTCTGGCCTTCTTAAACTTCGCTTTTGGAAAGAGTCTCATGGTTTGCTAACTTGGTTTCAGTTCCATAGAGATCTCCTGGGAGGAAAGTTCCTTTAAACATCCCCTGGACATACTTTGCAGTAAAGAACAAAACTTTCCTTAATCTTGGGGACTAGAGAGGATTGTCAAGTGCCAATAGATGGGAAAGTGGCCTTGATTTTCAGCATGTGGGTTCTGAATCTCTAGGAAAGATAGTATTTCATTCTGGAAATCTGAGTTACTTGTTGTCCTTACCTCAATGAGACAGAAGATTAAAATAAAAATTGTGAAGATGACACTAATGGATATCGCCATGTTTCGTTTTTTATGATAGCCATATCCTGGAACTTCTTTAGTGAGCTAAAAAAAGGAAAGAAAGAAAAGGAAAGAACAAGTTTTTAAAAAAACAGAGTATTGGAAAGGGCGCTAGCTAGCTCTTCAATACCCCATTCTTCCAAGTTGGTAGCCTATAGAATCTTAAATAACAGAGCAAGTCTAATGCGTTACATGGTCGCACTACTAGCATTTCCTTCTGCAATTTGTCTTGTGTATCGGGTCTGCTTCATGCTCTAAATGAGCAAAGTGTGAGGTCACTGTCATGGTCAAAGTTACGTGGCCACAGCCGGGCTCGATGGCTCAGCCTGTAATCCCGCGCCTTTGGGAGGCTGAGGTGAGTGAATTGCCTGAGCCCGCGGGTTCGAGACCCGCCTGGGCAGCGAAACCTCATCTCTACAATAAATCAAAAAATCAGCTGGGCGTGGTAGCGCGTGCCTGTAATTCCGGCTACTCGGAAGGCTGAGGCGGAAGAATCGCCGGAGCCCAGCAGGTCGAGGCTGTGGTGGCCGGGAGCGGCCACTGCACTCCAGTCTGGGCGACAGAGTGAGACTCCAACTCAAAAAAAAAAAAAAAAGTTACATGGCCAGGGTGAGAGGTGCCTGAGCCACGGGCTCCTTGTGGTTCTCCCCCCCAGGGCATCCTCTGTGTTTGTGGCCATCCTCACCTCGTCTGACTCCTGGCCCTTCTGCTCGCTCTGGGCCTCAGTGCTCTCTTTGATGTAGCTGTTCCTCCATTGTTCTGTGTCCCACTCCACCTCGGCCACCTTCACCTCCTGCTGCTCACTAAGGAGCTTCATCAGGAGTCCCGTCTGGGAGATGAGCTTGGCACAGGGCAGCTGCATGTGGCTCTCAGAGCAGTCCATCTTTAGGGTCCTGATCACGTGGGAAACAAGCCTCCGCAC